CTTCTGTGTGTGCCTGGTCCTTGCCCCTTTCCTCCCCCCCCCCCCCCCGCCCCCGCCCCAAATCCATTGGTAGCCTTTTTGCTCTAGACCCATCCTGTGCACACAATAGCCAGGATTGGTGACATTAGTGGGAGGGGACTTGACCAGGCTTTCCCTGATAGCCTTGGGGTTTCTTCCCCCAGGTGTGCAGGGGCCTTCAGGACCGAAGGGTGATAAAGGAGAGGTGGGCCCACCTGGGCCTCCAGGTGAGCATGCTTGGCACCGTCCAGGCCGAGGGCCACTGGGTACAGTCAGTGGGAGCACTAGAGTCTTGGGGTGCGGGGCACCCACTATGCCATGGTTACTGCCCAGCCCTCTGGAGGGGCAAAGTGAGATGGAGGGGGACCAGCTGGGAAGAGAGCTGGGACCACTCCCTTAAATCACAAAAGCATTAGTATTCATTTGCTAGTGGGATCCTGCTCAATACCAGCCCCAGATTCTGCCCTCCAACAGCACTCAGAGTGTTTGTCATGATAAAGAAGATACAGGCACTGGAACCAAGACCCTACCAGACATGGAGAGGGAAGACCAGATACCCAGGTCTTCTAGAAAGTGGTTACCAGGCTGGGACCAAGATTTAGAGTGTACTGTGCCCCAAAGCTATAAGGAAAAAGAATTATCTCAGAGAGCAGAGGGCTGTCTGGGTAAATCCTGGGAGACAAGAGTTCAGAGAGCTAGGGGCTACAGTTCCCCCCTCCCCCACACTCACACACCAGGACAGCAAGGGTGATCCAGGAGAGGCCATCTCAGCACCTCGCCAGTGGGAGCACAGAAAGAGAGAAGGTCCACAGAGGGAGGACAGACACAGCGATGCTCTAACATTCTTGTCACTGGAGAACCAAAAAGAAACAGCTGTTGAGGGCAAAATGACCCCGAGTTTCCAAAGCCAAAAAAAAAAAAAGATTTGCTGTGCTTCCCATAGTCAAAGGATGCACAAGAAAAAGACCCTGTGTGCTTCAGAACATCAGAAGGCGGCTCATGCTACAGAATCCCACGGCCGGGAGTATGACTGCACAAGAGGGAGCAAGCAGCCTGATTTTCGGGCTCTCCCAAGACTCCTGGGAGAGACAGAATTGGTACCCAGAAAGGGGGAGGTGGGCAACAGCTGAGCAGCACAGCAGGAAGAGTACAGGCTGCATGGCCGCAGGCCCAGACTCTCTGGAGCACAGTCTCTCTGATGTTAGCTGAGGTCAAGGGTGCAGATGAACTTGAAAGAAAGCCAGGAACAGAAGAATGCACAGCTAGATGCCCTATGCACAAACAAATGACTCACAAAAATACACAGCAAAGCTTGATGCAAATGACAACGAAGAGGGAGAAGGAGCAGAGCAGGGACATGTAGGAAACAGTGGACAAAGTTGATTTGAACCCAGGTTTCAGCAGCCGATCGTGGGTGCTTCTGTTGGCAGTCAGGATGGGAGTGGACTGGCTGCCCAGAGAGACACAGGGAGACCCTTCCCTTAGGACGAGGGCAAGCTAGAGGACCAGGATGGAGGGAATTGTCCCAGGAGAAGGAGGTTAGCAATGGCCAGCAAAGTGCATGCGTGCGTGAGTGAGTGTGTGTGTGTGTGTGTGTGTGTGTGTGTGTGTGTCTGTGTCTGTGACCAAGTGGATCTTAGGAAACATGGGCTAGAATTAAAAAGCACTCATCTTGATCCAAGCCTATCTGCCAGAACAATCCAGTAACTGAACTCATGTGCCTACAATAACAGAACTTCGGGATAGAGAAGAAAACTGACAAGTCAGGGAAATATGCCATCATTGGAAACATTTAACCTGGAGACGGAAGGGCTCAGCAGCCCCAAATGATCGTCTACATCATCTCTGGTCACATGCCAGCCACCGGGACTAGTCCCTGCAGGCAGAAGTGTGTTCTGCAGGTTTAGGGGATGGCGGTCTTGTGAAATGTGGTAGAAGCCCATGGTGAGTGGGTACCTGCATTGGAGGACTGCCCCAGCAGCAGCACTGGTCCAGGCAGCTAGAATGTCAAAGGAGAAGCAAAAGACCCTGAGGCAGCCTATGATGATGATGCTGGAAAAGCATCTCTCAGACGCCTGAATAGCTGGGTCCTATGAGTCCCCAATGGACTGGGTCAGAGAGACCCCTTGCTCATAGGTCATGGGGTCCCACAGACCTTGGCTTGGCTCTACAGAGGTCCAGAAGCTGGAGCCGTCACCTCCAGCCCCAGGTGACACACCTGTAAGATTTCTGGGCTAGGGGTGGTAGGCATGGAATCACTGTTCTTGACCATCTCATGTAGTAGCAAAGGGCCTCCAAGAGGGAGTGATTCCACAAGGCAGGGTCTTCCAGGAGGACAGAAACAGCAAAAACTGACCCAAGGTTGCTATCCCTGAAAAAATGGGTTAACCCCTTTGTTCACAAAATTACAGCCTTAAATGGAGTCTTTCTGTGCCTCCGGCCCAAGGTTCTAGAAAGCAAGTGTCACATTTGATGAAAACAGGAAGGCATTTTGGGAACAGAAATAAAAGAAGTTATGTCTTATTTATGTATAACAGAGATCAAGAAAAAAAATCTAAAGATCAAGTTAATTCTTTGAAGATGCCAAAATGTCTCCTTGAGATTGTAAACTGAGACAACAGGAAATGGCTCAGAGGAGAGGCCCTGGGAGAGGGAACAGGACCAGGCTTCTTGAAGCAAGGGGTCTAGAGGAAGAAGAAGCCAGATTACACAGATATCATGGCTTCAGTGCGCACCACCCATGAGGATCTGTAGGGCAACTGTCAGAATGTGTGAGTGCATCTCTCCAGGCCACTGGGTAGACAGCCATCAGAAAAGCCAATGGCCAGTCATAAACATTTACAATTTAAGAAAATGTGTGGTCCTTACCCTAATTGATGGAGGTGGGTGGGGTGGGGGAGGGGAGAAGAAACTGTATAGTCTACGCTGTCATCTCAGTACACTCTCAACCTGCCTTCTTACCCTGTAGGGCAGTTCCCCCTCGACTTCTTCCACCTGGGAGCAGAAATGAAGGTGGGTGAGATTGTTGAGGGAAAGAAATGTCCTTATGGGGTGGGTGACTGGTGTCTAGGCAGGTGTCTTTGTCCCTAGTGACAGAGTCTAGTGACATTCAGCCAAGCCACTTTTCTTCTGCCTCCATGAGGAGCACTGGCCCTGTGGATACTCATTGCCCCAGGCCAGTGGGGTTGGGGTGGATACAGCAGATGGTGGGAGCCTAGCTGGGTCTGGAACAGCAAGCACTGGGGATCAAGGAGGTGCCCATGACTCGTGGGGTCAGTGCCATCCTGTTATCCCCACCTGGCTCAGATAACCATTTCCACCTGTAGGGTGACAAGGGAGAGCGAGGGGACACTGGACAGAAAGGAGAGAGGGGAGAACCTGGGGCTGCTGGAGGTGGATTCTTCAGCTCAAGTGTACCTGGACCACCTGGCCCCCCTGGCTACCCTGGGATTCCGGTAAGCCTGACCCCAGGCCTCCTGCAGGTGTCCACACACCGTGGGCAAAGTCAAGGGACACATCCTGCCTGGCTGGGTACCCTGACTCACCAAATCCCACAGTCTCATCTGCCCAAGACCCCATATTTATTGGCTTCCCCAGGCATGAGGCTGGGTGGGCACATGGACCAGGGTGGGCTCATTTGTGCCTCATGGCCGCTTTCCTGCTGCTACCCATCTGCCGCTATCCCTGGCTTTGAGCAGGACCGAGCAGACCCCAGCGGTGTACCATCACAGCTGTCATGAGGACTTGAGGGAACAGGGACACTGGGAGGCCTTGAGGCTTCTCCTTTGTACTGGATTGCATCCCCAGCAAAAGGGGTCCTGTGGTAGGCAGTGCTATACCCATCTCAAAAGCTACTTCCACCTCTGAGGCTATGCGCAGATGCAGTCCCAGCCTAGGGCATGCAGGGTACCATGGAAGGTTTCTTTGTTGTTCCTAGGGTCCGAAGGGAGAGAGCATCCGGGGCCCACCTGGCCCTCCTGGCCCTCAGGGACCCCCTGGCATTGGCTATGAGGGGCGTCAGGGCCCCCCAGGACCTCCAGGACCTCCAGGACCTCCTTCCTTCCCTGGCCCTCACAGGCAGAGTAAGTTATGTGGAGAATGGGGAGTGGGCCTGGGGTCCCTGAGGGCTACCCATGTGGCCAAGAGTTTCCAGCTTGATATCTCTTTCATAGCTGTCAGTGTTCCTGGTCCTCCGGGTCCCCCTGGCCCCCCAGGTCCCCCAGGAGCCATGGGTGCCTCTGCTGGGGTAAGTGTCCAGTTGGCCAAGGTCTGAGATCTGGAGTAGGGTTGGGGAGGCAGGTGGCATGTCAGGAAGTCCTTACCATCAGTGTCTACGGGACCATAGGATCTCCAAGGTACCCACTTCTACAACCTCCACTCCTCCTCCTTGGCGACAGCCTGACAAAGAAGGATGCCTACCCAGGGTCACCCTCTGGCCTCTCAAATCCTGGGAGCTCTGGGTACTCTTGGCAGTAGGTCCCATACTGGACTTGCATTGGGGTTCTAGCAGGTGAGGATCTGGGCCACATACCAGACCATGCTGGACAAGGTGCGTGAGGTGCCTGAGGGCTGGCTTATCTTCGTGGCTGAGAGGGAAGAGCTCTACGTACGTGTTAGAAATGGCTTCCGGAAGGTGCTGGTGAGTTCTCAGGGACCCTCCCTCCAACACCCACAACAAGGATGGAAGGATTTTTTTTTTTTTTTGAACTTTAAAGAATGGTGCATGAGTTCCTCTGCACTTTCAGGGTTAGCAATAAATGAATGTTGATTAATTACTTTTATTGTTGCTGAGACCAAATCCCTAAGGAGAAGTACCTTAAGGAGGACAGGTTACTTAGGCTCATGGTTTGAGGTACGGTCCACGGCAGTGACGAAGGCACAGTGGCAAGGATGTCAGGTCACATGGCTTCTGTAGTCAGGGAGCAGCAAGCAGAGAGGAAGTGGGTCTATGTCCTCCCGTGAGTCTCCACCTCCTAAAGGTTCCACAGTCTTCCCAAACAGCACTGCCAACTGGGGACCAAATGTTCAACATAACCCCAGGTTGGGGGCAGGGCGAGTTCACAGCAGCATAACATGAGGTAGGGTCCTAACTCTAGACCCCAGGTGGCTCATGGCCGGGGTTCTAAAACCGTCCTCTAAGGGAGGTGTAATAGGATAAAGCATCGGGGCTCATCTTGGCATGATGGCCTCGATGTGCACGGAGACTACATATGCTTTGGATCCCAGCATTGTGCTATATAAACACCACTGCGGGCCTGGCCATATGGCTCAGTGGGTACAGACACGTGCCACACGAGCCTGTCAACCTGGGTTTGATTTCAGAACCCACAAAAGGTGGAAGGAGGGAACCAGTTCTGCAAAGCGGTCCTTTGACTGGCACACATACACCATGGCACGGGCACATATCAGTTATGCATACACACACACACACACACACACACACACACACACACACCAATAAATACCACTGTGATGAGCATCCTTGGTACTGGTAGGATGCCCCAAGATGCATGATGGCTGCTGGATACCACCTCTTGGGCTCTGGGTCTATGGGCCTGGCCTACAATGCCTTCCCGACAACCAGCCCTTTTGTCTGGCCAGGGAAAATTCTTTGGTGTTAGCAATAGGTCTAACCAGTGCTCACTGTTCACTTAGTGTCCAAGAGTGAGGTATAGTCACCTCCCTCTTTCTGCAGGCCTCTTCTAGGGGGAGGGGCTGTGGGAAGACGGTGGCAGATAGGGGCTCTGGCCCTGAAGCATGCTGCTGTAACCCCTGCTGTTTGTTATCTTCCAGCTGGAGGCCCGGACAGCACTCCCACATGGGACGGTAAGGAATATTTGCCCTCTGTACAGCTGTTAGAAGTTAGCATGGGGACAGAGCCCAGGAAGGCCACATTGTTCCTTGAAGTCTGGGGACCAAGTATGTGTGGCTGGAGGTTGGTGACGGGATCTGTGCAATCCTGAGAATGGTCTGCAGTAGCTCTGTTTTTGTCTTGGAGTGAGAGTGTTTATTAAGTACACAACCAACTGAAGTGAAAGAATTATTAACAGATAGGTAGATAAATAAAGCATTATCAAATTGGATGCTTAAGACATTTAGTAGAAATTGATGACTGGGGTGTGTGCGGGGTGGAGGTTGCTTTAAGGCAGCCAGCTGGAGTTCCTAAGAGAGTTCTGGGGAAAAGACGTCACTAAACTGGACACTCACACTATCTAGCAGAAACTGACTGGGGAAGTCAAGGCATCAGCTGGAGTTCCCCACTGAGCTTTCTCCCCATGGCTGAGCTTACACTGAGCTTCCCACAGCTGACTCTCAAGGCATGTTTATGCCATGGGACAAACAATGGTCATGGGTCACCTTCTAGCCATCCTCAAGGGCACTGTGTTTTACTCTTGGGCTGTTTTGCTGTTTTCTTCCCTCTACATCACAGTTAGAGGGGCCATCTCCAGACGGGGGACCTTGGAGGATACTTGGAGATAAACATGCTTGGGTGTGAAATGGGGGGAGGAGGCAACTCCACTTGTAGAGCGAGCCTCTCGGCAAGTTCAAACAACGCATGACGATCGACAAATATGATGTAGGGTCTTAGCCTGAGCAGCAGCCAGGAACCCTAAGGAGTCTGTGATGAGTGAGGACTGTCTTCCGAGCACAGGGAGGTTTAGGGGCCTGACCAGAGGGCAGTGCAACCCATTCAAGTATCTTGGGCTAGCTCATGCTTGCACCCATGGCTCAGGGTACAGCTCCCTTCTCACCACCTTGGGCCCAGCCCTGTGCTACCCAAGAGCACAGAATGGATAGGAAGGGAAGAGGCTACTCCAGGCACTGTGCGCTTCCATTCTCAGGGCAATGAGGTAGCAGCTCTGCAGCCCCCAGTGGTGCAGCTTCACGAGGGCAGCCCATACACCCGGCGGGAGCACTCCTATTCCACGGCTCGGCCCTGGCGGGCAGATGACATCCTGGCCAACCCACCACGGCTGCCAGACACACAGCCTTACCCCGGAGTTCCACACCACCACAGCTCCTATGCGTACCTGCCGCCAGCTCACCCCACAGGCTCACCTGCTCACACTCACCACGATTTCCAGCCAGTGGTGAGTGTCTGGGGTGGAGAGGCATGTGTTCATCCAGCCCCAGCCCTGGTAGGATGGAGGGAATCCCCCCAGAGCTGCCAGAGGGAATACTGTGAGCAGAGATCTATGGGTGGGCTTCTTCTGGCTGCTATGGGGCCACTCATCACTTAGGCCAGGGACTTGCTTCTCTCTGGTGGCTTAGTGGTTGTCAGTGAAATCAAAGACTTGGAGAAAGCAATGGACCATGCTTGTGCTATGCCTCTGCCCTAGAGGAGGCTGGGACAACCAGGGATGGGTAGCTGCTCCAGACCCAGCAGGCTGAACTGGCCTCAACTTCACTCACAGGAAGGGTATGAGGGGCTCTCTTAGGGAGCTTCTGGGACCACAGTGCCTCAGACAGCTTCTGATATCCTGGGCTAAAAGGGGCCAGAAGGTTGTTATTGCTATCTTATACATTCAGCCCTCAGTGGGCTCTGCCTGTGTGCACCGTGCAGCCTACAGGCTAGAAGGTCACATGCGACACTGCTTATGATATAATCCTACGTAAACTTTCCTGCAGCTCCACCTGGTGGCACTGAACAGCCCACTGTCAGGTGGCATGCGTGGCATCCGTGGGGCGGACTTCCAGTGCTTCCAGCAGGCCCGAGCCGTGGGGCTGGCTGGCACCTTCCGTGCCTTCTTGTCCTCTAGGCTGCAGGACCTCTACAGTATTGTGCGTCGTGCTGACCGTGGGGCTGTGCCCATTGTCAACCTGAAGGTGGGTAGAGCCTGTCCTGAGAGGTCAAAAGCATGTCCCCAGATGTACCCATGCCCTGGCCTTGGATGTGAATGCACAGCAGCGTCTCAAGATTTCCCCAGTGTCCCCTGCAAAGCTCCTCTTACCTCTGCACCTCCCAGGGTCCTGGTTCTTGTCCCATGGATGTTTCTAGTGGTTCCTATGTTGCTGACCACATAGTCAAAGTGGCCTGGAGCCATTTCTATGTGCCACCTAGCCTGGCCCCTCTGCCACAGGATCTGTCATGTGGCTTTATTACTGTGTCTTTGTGATAAAAAGAGCTGCGATTCTTGGTGTTCTTATAGCAGCATTTCCCAGAACCAATGATGTGGACTTACAGATCCCAGTGTCTCAGGCTTGGGAGGGCACCTATGGGTCTCACCCGATGTGATGGGGTGTACTCTGGAGAAGGGGTTCCTCTGCCTCAATGTGTTCCTTGGTCTTGTGTGATCTCTGGCCTGATGTGATGGTGGCTGAAGTCCCTGCTGTGTCTCCCGTAGGATGAGGTGCTGTCTGCCAGCTGGGATGCTCTGTTTTCAGGCTCCCAGGGTCAACTGCAGCCTGGGGCCCGCATCTTTTCTTTCGACGGCAGAGATGTCCTAAGACACCCAGCCTGGTAGGTCTCCCAGCATTAGAAGAGGCAAGACCTCAGTCTCTAGATTGACACAGTCTATACAGAAGATCACAGAACCTTAGAAGAACACGAGAATGGACGGACACAGTATGTTCAAACATGAGCCTGTCAACACCCTCAAAGCCATGGCAGATTCATTCATCACCCGTGACTACTTAATTAACTCTACTGCTCAGCCATGTAAATGCCACGGGAAAATATGGATTCTGCAAGACGGCTCCCTAGCATAGCACTCGGTCACAGAAAGTACCTGAAATGCTGACAAACAGCTGGGCTATCCCCAGAATGGTGTCATTCCCATTGTCTCTGCACCTGGCAGCTCAGACTCCTGTTCCAATGTCCCTGCTCTTTGAAGGGTGGCTTGGGGAGCTAGACAAAATTCCCTGGGTAGTAGTTGAGCCCTGACCATCTGCATTCCCCCAAGAGGCACTCATGAGGGCCCTCCCGGCCCCGACATAAGCCGAGGGGCTAAGCCCTGGCAGTAGAGCTCACTCCTAGCATTTATCAAGCAAGGGTTCCTGAAGCCAGGTCTTATCAGTGGGTGAAAGGCTAGCCCAGAGGTCCCGTCCCAGGCTGTACCCTCAACACCCTCTTCCTCTACAAGAGGACATACACATCTAGGAAGTGAACCTAAGTCACAGAGGCCTTTCCCTGTCCCATTGCACTGCTGTCCCCAAATATAGCGGATGCCTTTATTTTCTCTGCCCCAGAGGGCAGACCTGGAAGGACAGGGCTGCAGGTCGCTGACAGTCTATATGCCTTGCAGGCCTCAGAAGAACATATGGCATGGCTCAGACCCCAGCGGGCGCAGGTTGATGGAGAGCTACTGTGAGACATGGCGGACGGAAGCTACGGGGGCTACAGGTCAGGCCTCCTCCCTGCTGTCAGGCAGGCTGCTGGAACAGAAGGCTGCGAGCTGCCAGAACACCTACATCGTCCTGTGCATTGAGAATAGTTTCATGACCTCTTTCTCCAAGTAGGGCCTCTGCCAGCTAGAATGGTGGGCAGAGGTGGTACAAAGGACGGACACAGTGCAGGGAGCATCTGGCCAGCGCCCGGGGCCTGGCTGGGATACGATCCTGTATAGTTCACATTTCATGTAATCCTCAAGAAATAAAAGGAAGCCAAAGAGTATATTTTTTTAAACATTTAAAATAGACTTCCTGCCCTTCCTCTCCCACTTGAACTGGCCAGTCTGTGTCACAGATCTTCCAACACGCTTGGTGGAGCTCTATGGTGAAGTCAGGCCATAGCTGGGTCTCAGGAGGAGGCTGCCCTAGGTTGTTGCCTAAGACCTGCAGACTTTCTCTAGCCTGGCATCTTTCTGTGCACAGATCCTTCAAAAGGCAGTCATGTGTGAGTGCTGCGGACAGACCCTGGGACAGAACAGGGCAGCTAGGACTCTCCTTTCACCACCCAGTGACTGTCAGTAGTACAGGCAGGCACTTGCTCACCAGGTGGTAACTGGGACCACCCATGCCTCCTCTCTGCCTCCCCCCACTTTCCAGCAACAACACTCCCTGCCAGAGCAGGTTTCCAAGCTAGTACTCATTGTGAACCCAGACCTGAACCCTGTTCCCTGTCACTAGAGAACAGGAGTGTGGTCAGATTTAGTTCACGTGCTCCTTTTGCTGGGGGCCAGATATGACATGGGCTTGCCTCAGGCTTGTCTCTCAGACTGGCCTCCCTGGTGACCCATGAGATCCCATCCAGAGCAGAAACCAAACCCAACCAAGCCCAAGAGTCCAGTTCTGACAGCAACCTGTCCTTCCTTGCTCACCAGCGTGAAGTCCACGAATCTCATAGCGGCGGCACAAAGCACTTGTCCTATGGGAGGGACGTGCGTGCTCAGGTCCATGGGTGGCCCATCATAGCCACTGTGCCTACCCCAGGCTCCGCTGCCCAAGGATCGGGACAAATCCAGTGGGGCTAGTTCTGTGACTCTTGTGTGATATGAAAGCCATTTCAAAGAGGCACCAAATAAAAGTGACCTTTTATACAGACGCTTGGTTTATAAGTTGCCTTCCCTGTGATGAAAGGGACACACCACCCAAGATGAGATCTGGGAGCCTCTGTCCCTGCACTTCCCAGCTGGAGTCCTGCAAAGGGAGTACAGGTGAGTGTGGGTATAGTCATGTGTACATGGATACAGACCTAGGCACACGTGTGAACAGGTGTGTACGACTGCACTCATGTACATGGTCAGGTGTGTCTATGCACAGGTTTGGATGGGTGTACAGAAGCTATGCACAAATATGCAAATGTGTGTGGCTGTGTAGTCATACAATGCTATGCGTAAGCGTGCGCATATATGGTGTACAGAGGTGTGCGTGGTGTTCCTAGTTACACAGGCAGATGCCTGTGCAGAGGTGTGCAAAGACATATGCAGGTGTGTTTATACACAAGGTGTGCGGGCATGCACAGGTACACAATGTATTGTGCGGATGTGTACAGATGTCAGTAGCCTCCACCTGGTATCCAGCAGTGCATCCAAGGTCACTTCAAAATCAGGTAGAGGAGGCTAGAGAGGTGGCTCAGCAATTAAGAGTACTTGCTGGTCTTACAGGAGACCTGCGTTCAGTTCCCGGCACCCACACAGCAACTTACATCCAACCATCCGTAACTCCAGTTCCAGGCAATCTGACACCCATTTCTGCCCTCCGAAGGCACACATGCGATACACATTATACAGGCAAGCAAACACTCATGCGGATAAAATAAAAATAAATCTCCAAATTTTTGCAGTGTCTGTTCACCAGGCCTACCGCCACTTGTACTCACTATTTTGTCCTGGCTGAGGCTGACAGAGAAGACCATGTTCAAAGCCTCCAGCCAAGTGAAGAGCGGCTGACAGAAGGGCCCAGGATAAGAGAGGTGACTGTCCTCAGCCAGTACAGGTTTCCAGGTGAGGGCTACAGAGCCACAGGCTAGGGTGGGCAGGTGCTGAGGGAGGGCTCTGAGGGTGAATGCCAGCAGGTACCATCTTATTGCACTGGGTACAATAAGGAATGGCTGCAGGGTGGGCTGGCATAGCTGGGTGGCCACACACCATCTCTGCCTTGTATCCATCAGTCATGGCCTGCAAGACCCCCAAGTCCAAAAGGGATGGAACTAGCCCTCCCCAGTAAGGCTTTCAGGGTGCTGGGGCAGACACATGGATGCAGCAGGCCCACCCTGCTTGCAGCCTCTTCCTCAGCCCAGGGTGCCCAAGATGACCTTTCCCAAGTGGACCTTCGGGTAGGTCCTGAGGCACAGTTGGCTCAGCAGTCGTCCCCACCCCACCCCCGCCCCCAATAGCAAATTCTGTCCTCCGATGAGCTGGTTACTCAATTCTGTCAGCCAGGAGCATACTACTGGCATGCCCTGGAGGCGTCAGATCTTGTATTGGAGCTGGAGGTCAACTCAAGGACACCGAGGGCCTGGTCTCTTATGTGCATCCTTGCTTTGGCTTAGGCTAATCAACTACAGCCCTTATATACCAGGTCAGGCCAGCATGGAATAAGAAACCCCCTCATAACAGAGTCTGTTTATAAAGTATTGGAAAAAGTGCTCACACCACAGCTAGTCTTAACCTCACAGCTGACTCTGGTAACTCTCACATGGCTCCCCAGTGCAAGCCCCTGAGGCATTCCCCTCTAGAAGGGCCTTGGTTCCAATCAAGGCTGGTACACCCATGCTGCCTGAATGTGTGTCAGGTGAGTACTAACTTGCTCGGGGATGGCGTCTGCAGGCGAAAAGGGCCTACCGCTACTCTATCAGTCGGAAATGTGCCTGGCGCCCACCTGACTCCAGCTTTTCACAACAGAAAAGCCAAATGTAGTTGTCCATTTTAATGTCAGTTTTGTTTTAGTTTTTTTTTAAAAAAAGATCAGATAGCCATCCAAGCAAGTACCTCCAATGGTGGAAATGACAACTAGTCAGAAGCCAGGAGAGGCATCCACCCCACATAGAAGGACCAGCACCCCGCAGGGCCAGTGTGCCTTGGCTGGTGTCTGGGCTACCTCACCAGCCCTGAGGACAGACATGATTTGTCCTGAGCTTCCTGGGGCTAAGGCGGGCTGGCCTGGTGGGCACAGTTGACCCCAACACGGGCTCTTCTTGGCAAGCCATAGGCAATCCAGGCTCACAGCGCCCTGGCACGTGGATCACAAAGCCAGGCAGCTGCCCTGAGTGTTCCCAGCAGGCTTTGGCCACAGCTAAAGCATGATGTAGGCTGGGCCTACGGTCCTCAGAGGCTATCAGTAGGAACAAACTATCTATCATCCCTCAGTTAAAGCAGGTGGCTCCTAAGGTGAAACCTGTGGACATTCTGAGGGCTCCTGAAAGGTAACACAGGGGCCCCACATCTTGGGCCCTGGGACTCAAGACAGTACAGTCTTATCTGAGGCATCAGGCCAGGCTGGTTCAGGATGGAGCGCACATGGGAGAGGTTGCTTAAGTCAGGAATCCCCCCTCTCCCCCCGAACTGGGATGAAGCCAGGAAGGTCAAGATGTGACTGTCAGGCCTTGGCTTCAGCTCTCAAGCTTGCCTCGCTGTCCTCCACGCCATCCTCTGGGAGCAGCTGTGGTGCTGAGGGCTGCAGTCCCCCTAGGCCTCCATCCTGCATACTTGGCACCTGCACAGAATTCTCCAAGGGACTCAGCTCCTGGGGCAGGGGCAGGGGCTGGTGGCGACCACGCCGGCAGTACCTCACGCCATCCAGCACGGCCCCGACAAAGCAGATGACAGAAAGCACCATGAAGTACACGGAGTAGATGCAAAACTGAAAGAGAGAATATGGGTGACCTAAAGTTTTGTGCCCACCCCTGCCCATGCCCCACTTGGGGAATTCCATTGAAGTTCTCCATCATTCAGCCTCCAGGTGGCCAGAGGAGTCATAGGCTTTGCCCAGGGGCAGATACCAGGGTGCTTGGCCCCTTGCCCTCTGTCTCCCACAGCATGGTCAACCACAAAAGGGGTGCCTATCACTTCCCCAAAGATCCCCCAGAGAACCCAGCATATGTCTGGCATCTGTGTGGTCCTCAGGACAATGATCTAGGGCTTCTCCTAGGTACCAGTCTTATCAAGACTGGGCATAACCTTGACCTGCACTGCACAGCAGTGACTAAGACGTCATGCCCCTTTCCAGGGAGGACCTGAGTACTGTCAAATGTACATGGAGGTCCTAGAACTTGGAGTGATCCCAGTGGAGGCAGGGGAGTTGCCTGAAGCCCCTTGGGACCCTTCTCATTTAAATGAGAAATGATCTCATTTAAAGCACACTCAGAAATGGCTCATTAGAGACTTCCATTCCCAGGAAGACAGGGTTGACATCCTTTCCCCATTCTTCACCTGTGTCAGCCAAACCCCTGGATGCTGTGGGCACACTCACTGGGGGCGGGCGGAGAGAAGCGTCAGCCAGCTAGACCTCAGGAGCCATTAAAGGTGCGGCAAGTGCTGGCCATTTCTTTTTGCTTCCTGGGTCTCGGAAGTGAAGCAGCCAGAAGTCCAGCACAACTGTTCACTCTACCCACAGGACTGGCAGATAGAGCCCAGCTAGAGGGCAGGTACCAGGACCAGGACAAGGATATGCAACCCCAGACATCTCCCTGAAAGCACCTGACCCTACCTCAGACACACCAGGCTTAGGAGGACCTATGGGTGGGGATGGGCAGTACTCCTGGGAAGAAACTTAAATCCTACTGGGTGGTAATGACTTCACTTCTTACCTTTGTCCTCATAAAGTCAGCAACAAGCATTCAGGGTGACTGGACCCAACACACACACACACACACATACAGTGACACACAGTGACACACAGTGACTGGACCCAGCACACACACACACACACACCACGTAACTGGTAATGTAATACACATGCAATCACTGAACATCAGACCATTATCGGCTTCTAAAGAGACAGATGGCACAAACTAAGATTCTGGTTCCACAAGAGAAAAAGGCAAATGAAAACAACCCACGCGAACAGCTAATAGGAGAAGGTCGCTAGCGTCAAGGGGAAATGGGCTCTCACACCCTGCTGGTGGGATGGGAATGGTCCCCACTGGGAACCCACAGCTCCACTTCTGTACCTTCATTCCAGAGAAATAAACCTACATTCACACCAAACCTAGGAAAGAACTTGTGATACCCAAGGACTGAACACAGACCACAGGGCTTCTGAGCTCAGCTGCTATCCCGGGCACACTGACAGCCTACAGTCATTACAGTAGCCATCTGCCCTTGTCTCGGAGGAGAAGCCCAAGGGCACACACACACACAGGAGAATGGAGCCACCGAGGGGAGAACACCTATATCCAGGGCATGTGCTGATAAGGGCGTGGCTATGAAACAATGTAAGGGTCCCCCAGCTGAATGTTATGATGCTGAACCAGGGGAACCTAGCACAAGGCACCTGAATCCCTGCACAAGTTCTTAAACTGGGTGGAATGAAGCCCAACTTAAAAACTGAGCAAACATCCAGGCTGGCTCCCAGCCACAGTCCTAAGTTCCACCCTGGTTCTCTCTCAGTGGTCTCTGGCTCTGCTCCCACTGCCTGGACTCCTGCCCTGGCCCTTCTCCGAACTCAGGGTAAAGTATGAGAGGGCAGAGCAGGAGCCTGCATCTCTCTTGACTACAAGCAAAATACAATGCTTGAAAGAAAACTAGCCAGAGAAAAGTCAGTACCCATCTCACAATTTGACTGGAACTAAAGCCAGAACATCCCTCATGGGACCCCTCAATATATATAGTCTGTGCCAGTAAGTAGAACTGATCAAGGGCCCCCAAGAAGGGATGGAGTTTCTTTTGTGGCCAGCCCCCTTCCTACTGAGCCTCCTACCCCATTCATTTGAGGCTCATTTGCAAGGGGGCCTTTGCAGGGCAGCTGGAATGGAGGAGGGGGGGAGACATAGGCGACAACAAGGGAGCACCAGTCTCTAAAGAGGTCCCTCAGGCCCCACCCATTTGGCTCCCAACGGTTGAAAGAGAGGCAGGTTATGGAGGGAGAAGGAAGGAGACAGAAAGAGCATAGTGGCCTTAGAGGTCAGTAGTATAGCTGGGGCCACATGAGGTTCCCCCTGGGGTTTCTCTGGACAGCTCCTTCCACTTTAGGGGCCATTACTCTTCTAAGGACTGATACAGTCACCCCCAGGAGTAACTTATGCCCTTCCAAGCCAGCAAACTGTGCCCTACCCAACCCACCCCTGACCTTGCCCAAGTACCGTGAGTCAACCCAAGAGCAGCTGGGTACTAGAGAGGAATTATGGACTCTTCTCGGTCTGGATCTACCACTCTGTGGGCCAGGCAGGACTTGCCCATTCTGTGGTCAGCCTACGGGGATATGCTCTGAGGGATTTAGCTGGGCTGGAGGTGGTCAGAGCCATAAGCGGCAGGACCCTGGCACCCCCACTTCAGAGGCCTATTCAGATCCTACCAGCCAGCTTTCCAGTGGGATGCGATGTTCCTGCATGTGGGAACATCTGCTTCCTCTGTATGTCCTCAGTGGCCAGCCAGACTCAACACCGAACCTCAGTGACAAGGCTGTGCCAACTAGGGATCCTTGGTGGGTGGGGACTTCTCCATGACACACACAAACCTGCAGGCCTCCAACCCAGGGAAACCCACGCTCCAGGAAGACGAACGGTTTTCACAGGTTGCCAAGATACTGCCAGGCACAGCCTGGGGCAGTCACTAAGGAGCTTGGTTAACATCCCTCCTCATGTGTCCCTTTAGCTTGGTACTTGGGCAGTTCCTCCATCACAATGTCCCTATCACAGAAAAGTCAGCTTTCTCAGATACAAAAAAAAAAAAAAAAAAATGCTGGCTGTGGTGGGAAAACTGAACACATGCCAAGAGGGGCCAGTAGGCCAATGCCATCTGATGCCAACTCGAACCCAGGGCCTCTGCCTTAGCTCCCTTCTAGATATGAACACTTCAGCTATCCAACCTGGGCTTAAAGCCATCAGGTCTTGTGAGGTGTGAGATGAAAAGCAAGGAGTTGTGACAGTATATGTTCAGTGACACAGGCCCAGGTAAGGACATACAAGGTCTGATAAGGACTCCTCAGAAATGGCTAACAACTCACTCAGCCAGCCTTGGAGGCCCAGCCACTTGGGGGCTCCAAGTCTGAGAGGTTCAACTTGGACAGGAGCAGGGTAGGGGCACATGGACAGATAAAAGTGGCTAACCTTGCCACATCAAGTGCCCCTGGAAATGTGAGCCTGTCCCAACAGTCTCACTTCCTGCTCCAATGTGGGCCACATTCTGTATACTCCAGTGACAATGGATCTGTGTTCCCCGAGAATGGATCACAGAAAGTGGGTGCCAGGAGGGCCTGTCATGACCACATGATGGGATTCCCTCCCCGAAAGACACAAGACTGAAATTGGAGCTTACCTGTTTTTCAACTTTGAGGCCCAGACCCCGTTTGTCGGAGACCACAAGCGTGATGGCAGTCTTGAGCGCAGTGGCAAGGAATGTATTGATCCCGAAGACCAAGGCACAGAGCTCTTTAGATAGGGAAGATGCAATCTGAAAACTGGGAGGTAAAAAACCATACCGTGGCTGGGTGCACGCCTTTAATCCCAGCACTCGAGAGGCAGAGGCAGGTGGATCTCTGAGTTCGAGGCCAGCCTGGTCTACAGAGTGAGTTCCAGGACTGCAGGGCTACACAGAGAAACCCTGTCTTGAAAAACAAAACAAAAAAAGCCATACTGTGATCAAACTCACTGAATAGGACGGGGGAAGAACAGAGTCAGACTGGACATGGTGACAAATGCCATTCGTTCTGGCACAGGAGGCAAAAGCAGGTAACTGTGTGATTCCAGGCCAGTCTGGTCTACATAGTGAGACCCTATCTAATTAAACAAACAAATGAACAAAGAACACAGAGCCAGGGAGATTCCAGCATCTACTTAGGGACACACCAACGGAGTCATACAAACCCGCCCACTACCAGACTCCCAGCTAAGCTCCCCATCCACAGCCACACAGTCCCCTCCCCCAGCTCCCTCCCCTCCCTACATACACCCACCAACCAACAGTGGCTGACCCAGGGCAGCAGCGGGGCTCAGGACATGTTTATGGAGAAACTGACTCCTGGAGATAGGAAGGTGCTTTCTATTCAGGAGGCAGGGGTATGTGCCCAGAGAAGTGTGTCAGTGTCTGTGTGGCCAGAGAATGTGTGAAGGCCGTCCAAGTAGGGAAAGAGGCAGTTATGTAGCCCTGGGAGGTAGGAGCCAAAGTCTTCCCAGAAGAGGTAGAGAGTGGGGGAGGCAAAAGAAGGCAAGTGCCTGTGTGTGGTGTGAATCCATGTTCATATGCCACGCACAGTGTAAGTGCTAAGTACATATGGTGTATGAAATCTGTATCATATATATATATATATATATATAATATATATATATTTATATATATATAATCTCATGTGGTATGCTAACCCATGTACATGGATACTGCAAACATAGATTGTATAGTCTCAGAACACATGCAGTGGATGGTGTATATGTGCTGTCTGTTTGGTGATGTGAGCATATTTGGGGTTTCTTTTAGACAAGGTCTCACCTTGTGTCTGGCTGACTTGGAACTCACAGAGACTTGCCTGCCTCTGCCTTCTGATTTCTGGGGTTGGAGGTGTGCTCCACCATGCCCAGCTCTGTAGGGATATCTGATGCCTACGTGGCATGAGCTGAGTGTGTCTTCAAACACAGCAGTGTGTGCTCTCTAAGGTCAGCCTGGACATGCATGCCAGTGCAATCTGGAGAGATCACCCGCAGTCAGTACCAGGAAACTCAAAGTGTTCACGGGGGCTGGGAGAGCACTTAGGACAAGTCCAGGAAAGGGGCAGGCCCAAAGTAGTAGGAGGGATGCCGGTAAAAAGAGAGGTACGGACAACAGGAGAGGGGAGTTGGGGTGCTCGTCAACTGTAGGTGGTCTGTGGGTTGGCAGCATTATAGAGAGGTTCAGGAAGGACTGGCAGAGATGGGAGGGAACTGGGGAGGTAGGGGGTTCCACCATCCTTACAGGGGTTGTGGGGCCCAGGGAAGCCAGTGCAGTGGGCACGGCAAAGAGTGTCCAGATGGATCAGACCTCCCATATAACTGTTCACATTGCCTTGTGCTCCCCAACAGAACCTTCCAGAAGCCTCTCCCCGTACCATCCTACTCACGTGGCAATGGGCACGAGGAACTGGTAGGCCCCGCGGAAAAGCACGTAGGTCATGTAGAGTACCCAGATTTTGTGGACCCAGGTCACGTAGTGGACCATGTACATACAGAAAACCAGTCCGGCCTGGATGGCTATAACACTTGCGATGACCAGCTTTGACCACAGAGCCCAGCGGATCTTCACGAAGCCCGCAGAGAAGGATGTGATGGCGCCTGGAGGTAGGAGGCATCAGTCATGGCTAAGCTTGGGCAAGCAGAACCATGGGAGAGATGGGTAGGGAATTCAGGCTTAGTTAGGGTAGCTCTGGAGCAAGGGTAGGGTAGAGCAAAGGATAGGACAGCCTATGTTGGTGGTCTAGCCCAGGGCAAGGGGTAGGCCTGGACTGCAGTCCTAGCTGGCTGCAGTCCAGCTGGGAAGGGCAAGGGGCCTCCAGTGCATACTCAGCAGTGTGGAGGCAGCATCTACGGCGCCATTGTAGTTGAGGTTTTTGTCAATACTCCACAGGACGTGCACATAGTAGACAATCAGGTAGTAGCCTGCAGAGTTGAAGACCCACCAAAGGCACCAGAGGCGCAGCTGTGGTTGTCGTAAATTTCCCACCAGTTCACTTAGCATGCACACCAGGAAGGAGTTCCTGCAACTGCCCAGCACTCGCTCTAGTTTCCCAGGCTCTGGTCGGCCAGGGCCCGGGTGCATCTGGTCCAGCTCGCAGGGCAAGGCTTTGTGCACAAGTGCACTGCGGTTGAAAAAGAGGCTGTGCTTAGGACGCTTTAGAAAGAGGGAGAGGCCCAGGCTGAAGATGATAAAGCCCAGGGAAATGTAGTTGAGCATGTTGGAGTTCTGGGATTTTTGTTCCAGGGGCCACAGCACCTGGCCCAACACAGAGCTGGTGAAGACTCCCAGGAGCACTGCTGCCCTTGAGTAGCTGGCCATGCGCTGGTAGCGGGAAGGGCGCACCAGGGAGAAGATGTAGGAGGAGTAGGCGATGCGCGCAGCCATGGTGACGCTGTAGAAGACTTCCATGAGCTGCATGTGTACCACAGAGGTGCCCAGCAGCAGCAGCAGCCAGACGCACATGAAGCTCAGGCACTGCAGGATCAGGATTGGCTTGTATCGCAGGTAGTCCGTGAGCAGAAAGATTGGCACCAGCACGGCCAGGTGGGAGTAGGGCAGCACCGGAATGATCTCATTGGTCACCTGTGGATGGGCAGGCACTGGCTATTAGCGACACTGGCTGCTCCACTGAGTACTGCAGAGTGAGCAAGCCAAAGTCTGCCTGGCCCTGTCTCCCTCATGACCACAAATGCACCTTCCATATCCGCACCCGGGTGGTTGGGATCGAAGGGCGTCTAGGAACCAAGACAATCTTGCAGCCCAATAAACTGCAGACTCCGGGCACAGCTCACAGGGAGCTAGCAAACTGTGGGGCAAGCCGCCATTCATTGCATGTGGATCCCATTACCTAGGCTTTCTGATTGGCACTCTTCTTAAACCTAAGCAGAAAACAGCACCGTGGCCAGTAGGCCCCAATACAGATTTCTTCAGTCCTTTATAGGAGGGCAAGGAAAAGCAAGAGAATGGTAACGGGGGTGGGGTGGGAGTAGAGAAGCACAACTGAAAACTAGGGAGGTAAAGCCAGGGGAGGATAAGGTCACCCCTCTACCCCACCCTACAAGGCAGAACCAGGCACGCTGCCTGCAGAATCCAACCTTCATGGCCTTCTTTGAGCCAGCTTCTGGAGGCCGCCCTTACCGGGCTCCTGCCGGGGAACATAATTGGGGAACTACATGCTGCAAGGCAAAGGTCAGAAGGCATTGCCTCAGACTCCACATGGCTGCCCGGGGAGGTGCCAGAGCCCACTGGTAGCATGGGCAGGCCAAGGCAGGTGCCTTAGGGCCCCTGGATGCTCTGCAGGGAGAGCCTCCGTCCCAGTGAAGCACAGACGTCCACTTGTCCTCTCCCTGGGAGGTGGACCTGCTTGGAACCTCCTCCTAGGCCAGGATAAGTTTCAGCAGGCCCCCCATGGACCTCACTTGAGATCCAGCTAATGGGGAAGCTGGATGGGCACTCCTGGGCTCCCCGAGGCTGGGACCCAGGTCCCACTGCCTCCCACACTCATGTTAACTCAGCCCAACCATTAGCAACCACTAGCCTTACTCAAACGCCACCTCAATAACCTATTGCCCCAAAAGACCAGCAGCCACCAGGGCCAGCCCCACTTCACTGATGGAAAATCAAGGACCCAAAACAGAACCTGGGTCATATGTAGGGGCGGTGTCAAGCCGAGATGAACTGCTGCTCCCCCCAGGCCGGCTGCAGGCTGCCTCAGGCAGCTGGGGAGCCAGACCTCAGAGACTTCCCTTCATCCTTCCTCGTCTAGGCCTATCTTACACAGCATGAAGGGCAGGTTCAAAAATAAACCGCCTCCATGTCTGCTTGGATTTAAGCTCATTAGCAGAGTTTCAATAGGACCCTCTGTCCCCAGGGCTGAGTAAGAAGAAAATACCTTCAATAATCTCTTTACATAAACAGCTAAGTCTCTGCTGGGGGCAGGTGCCAAGCAAGGTGGGGCATGACCGGGCATGGGCTCTCTCACCAGGATGGCAGACAAGCCACCTGGCAGTAGGGGTCTTCATTTGCATTCTTCCTCAGTCCCAAAGCAAGCGCAGGCTTCCTCTCTATGGAGCCCAGTGACACACTCTCCGGCTGGGTTAACCAAGCCAAGCCAAGCCCCTCTGTATGCTCACTGCAGCAGGTGGCAGGTCAGGGTAGGGCCAAGCTCACAACCAACCCAGTCTCTCTGGCCCCAGTAATCCCCCCCCACAGCCTCAGCTGCCCATATACCAAACCAGGAAAGAACCCCCAGCCCACACCACTGCTCCCCTACCCTCCGACAACAACATGCCTGCTCGATTGTGAAGTTTTGTTGCAGGAGGTAGGGTGTGATGAAGCTCTCCCCAGGCCGCAACTGTGCCATGAAGCCGAAGAAGCAGAGATAGAATACTAGGCATCTCCAGGACTTGAGTTCGCGGTCCTGCCTGGGCTCCTCACATGCCTGCTTTTCTGCCACCTGGCCAGTGGGCACCATGTTGCCCAAGTCCTCATGGGAACTGGTGACCAAAGATGACACTCCACCTGGAAGGTAAAGCCAAGAGTCTGGGGTTAGCAAAGGCACCCATAAGGAACCCTCTACTCCCCAGTCTTTCAGTTGAGATTCAGTGTTGGCCTTGGATGGCTGCTGGCCCCAGACCCAAATTGTCAACCTGCTCTGCCAACCTGAGAACTACCAGGAGCCTAATCCCTCACACCAGGCCAGCACAGGCTCCAGGAGTCTTCAAGCAAACCAAAGCTTCAGGCACCTAGACCTATTTAAATATTAATCAAAGTCACGTAAACAGATCACCTTACTTTATTAAGTAAGTAATATTAATAACATTGAAAATTCAGGTTTAAACTGGATGGTGGTGGCGCACGCCTTTAATCCTACCACTCGGGAGGCAGAAGCAGGCGATCTCTGTGAGTTCGAGACCAGCCTGGTCTACAGGACAGCCTCCAAAGCCACAAAGAAACCCTGTCTTGAACCCCCCCCCAAAAGAAAAAAAAAAAACAAACAAACAAAAAAGAAAATTCAGTTTTGGGAGCACCACCGATTCATTCTGGTCTTAGGCTAGGCTCTGCCGGTGTTGATAGCTACTGTTCCAGCGGTATCCTAGGTGTAGAGAAGACAAGAGGAAGAGGCTCTGCTAGGCTAGGACACCAGGTGTGCACCCAGACACAACATGGAGGTCAGTGGGGGAGACTGCGAGCACACAGATCTGACATGCATTCTCCCCACAGCAGGGGAATGCAGTTCTAAAAGGCACTTGTCATAGAAAGGAGGGCCAGTGGGAGAGGCAGAAGTCCACCAGGAGCTGACAGCCACCATGGGCAAGGCAAAGCAAGCTCTGGGAAAGGTTACAGGATAGAGTAGGAGCTGACCTGAGGGACTCCACAGTTCTTGCTAGGACTCCTAGAGTGAAACAGACGAAGCCTGAGGAGGAGGTGGATCTGACATTCAGATGAAGACAGGCCTCCTCCCAAAGGCAGGTCAAGTCCAGCCACTGGTGGTCTGTCCAGTTGCTGACCCTCTGGCCTCACACCATATAGCCCAAGGGCACTCGTGAGTATTTGTGGTGAAAACTAACCTGCTCAGTGTGTTTTTCTCTCCCTGATTCTGTCCTGGACACAGGCTGCTCTGGGTACAGGTGGGCACTGTCAATTTCCTAACAGAAAGGCAGGAGCAGCATCCACTCATCAGGACCCCAAGCTGCATCTATGTTATAGGTTCACGTGGTTCAGGCTTTTTGTATAAGGCACTGGCATAAGTCAAAAGGGAGTTAACATAAAGCTTCCTGCCTGTTCCTGGAGTAGAGAGGCTGGGCGTCGTATATAGGGACTAGGAAGCTAAGCCAGGTTGGCGGTGTATGTGTGTGTGTGTGTGTGTGTGTGTGTGTGTGTGTGTTGCAGTGTAGTCAGGAAAGGTGGAGGAGGAACTATACTGATGGCCTCTACAACAGGCTCTCAGATGTCCCCTCCGCTCCTCACTACAGCCTGCGACAGGAAGTGGCTGCAGATCTGGACTAGGGTAAAATCCCCTCCAATGCGTGAGGCAGGGGGCAAATAAGACTCCCTAGATGTAAGAAGAACTATGGGGGTCCAGACTCTCAGCCTGTAAACCCTACACTGAGCCCTTGGGTGTCCTCTGAGTTCCCATGAAACAGAGGCTCAAGAAGGAAAATTGGCCTGCGGGTCCTCAGTGTGTGCTGTCCTACTGGGACTTCAGTCACAGTGTGCAGCTGTAAAGACTGCCCAGGATCCCTTCCTTCAAGTCCTGTTTCTGTGACAAGACAGAAACTGGGTAACACCTGGACCCCCAGAGAAGCAGAGGTTTGTGGATTTACTTGTTGGGAGCTGTGAGGAAGAGTGAGCCATTGTGCAGAACTCCAGAGGTCCAGAAGGCAGGAATGTCTGGGAAGATGCTAGGGTAACAAGTGGCCCGGAAGCTACAGGGCCTGGGACAGGATCTAAATGGAAACAGCAAGCTAGGCAGGGGGTCTGGCTGGAGAAGAAACAAACACAGGCTACAGCAGCTCAGCTGGACAGACTGACCTCTGCTCTGCTTGGCTTTGCTTTTTCAAAACTTCTCCAGAGCTACACAAACAGCCAAGGAGGACACGGCACCCAGGAGATTCAGCCCTTGGCATTGACCCCTCCAGAGAGAGAGGCCGAGGGAGGTGTAAGCGGAGCTAAGCCATTCCCCAACACACATTATTGGGGGTGCCCAGGTCAGGCAACTGTCCATGGCAACTGCCCATGGCAACTGCATTTGCCCAACTAAAGCATCTCCCAGGCTAAGTGGTGGCCAAGAACTTAGCTAAGTCTAGGATTCTGTGCCCAGTATGGGCTTAGGAATCCCCAGGAATTGGCCCTCATCGGAAAGGTGCCATCCCCAGAGATAAAAGGAACACCTTTTACTTGGTGTTGTTTGGTATCCAGGGATAGCAGAAGTGATCGGACACCAGTAAAGAGAAAACTTCGTATTATTCCATACATACAGCCTCATAGATTCCTGAGGCTTCTACACCCAGGGGACTGTACTTTTACAGCACAGTGAGTTCAACCTGGCTCTACCAGGGTTCTGTCTGAAGATCTGGGTTCAGAACTTCAACAGCTGTCCCACCACAGCTGGAAGAGGGTCACTCAAAGAACTCCTGGAGCCCACATTACATGAACATCTAGGGTTATCAGACTGGCAGAGCTGTACTACCCGGAACGGTGCTCAGATGGGCAAGTGGTTCTAGTGGTCAAGGTCCCCAAAATGGACTCCTGTTTGTCCTCTGAGGTTCTGAAAACTCCGCCCACCCACCCACTCAGATCTATCTGTCCAGGGGGACAGGACTGTATCACAGCAAGATCCTCTGAAATCTTAGTATTCCAAGCCTCTGGACTTCTGTTCTCAGACCACATAACAGACAAGGGTGTGCTTCCAGGGAACACGAGAGCACCTCCTATTCTCTGCGGAACCAATTCCAAGTCTACAGTCCACTGCCCAGCTCATGACTTCCACCATAAACACCCATTCAAAAGAACTGCCTGGTTGCCTGGTGACTGGGAACCAGGGACTGGGCTCCTGGTAAAGCCATAGGCCCCATCTCTAGTCCCCACCCTAAGCTCCCGTGACATTCTCTGCCTCTTCCCTGATCTTATCCAGGAGCTGCCAACAGGCTTTGAACAAAGGTGGTCCATCTGTCCTATGATAACCTTTCCTTCCAAAGTCAGCCTAGTGACCCCCATACTAGGAGGCAGGAACAGGAGCTGCCAGGCCCTGTGGCCCCCTCCAGCTGCCACTTTTGCTCAAACTTGAAACATTTCGTAAAGACCTGCCTTCCCCAATTCCAGCACAGCTCTGCCACCCTCCCATAGGCTACAGTGCACTGGATGGAACTAGGGACTCAGAACATAGAAAAACCCACTTCTCAGAACTTCTAGGTCCACAGCTGACTGCACCAGTGCCTCCTGGGCTAGGCACAGGCCAGCCAGAAGAGAAGCTGCTATTCAGGATGGTGGCCCAGAGTTCAGTGTCCTACTCAAAATCTCTCTTCCACACTGGCACTGATGGAAACGCAGGCCCAAACTCTTGTTTGGCACTGTCTCTTGTGGTCTGGAGCAAGGTGGCTTCAGCCTGGATTCTCAGCACCTCCAGGAAGGGATGCTAGGTAGCCCCAGACTGTTACCTATACAGAGACTGCCGGCTAATTTATTCTACCCTATCGTAGGTAACATCACTCCTACATAGTAAGAGTCCAGCTATAATGCAATGCCTCCTCTCTCTACAGCAGAGCCCAAACAGCTCTTCCTAGCAAAGCTAGGCTCAGCTCAGCTCAGCTCAGCCAAAACCCATTGTGAGAGGCAAGATGGGAGACCCTGTCACCCGCTTGGTTGAAGAAACTGAGTGTAGAAGCTCACGGCCTGCAGGCATCACAGCTGAACCTGGACTCCATATGCCATATGAACAGTGTTGCTCCATAACTTGCAACTAACCTGTTCCAGATACCTGAAAGAAATCCTTGACAGCCCAGGAGGGCTGTGGTGTGGGGGCACCAAACAGCCCTTTCTGGCCAACCTTGCACCTTCGTGAGAGAAGAGTGAGCAGGGAGTGTAGAACACAACTGCTCACAGAATTCTTATCATGACACCCCAAAACCAAAGCAAAAGCAAACAGCAACCTTCATTTTGTCTTAAAACAGGAAGGTTCATTTTAATCTTGGAATGCTCTTGTTGGGGTAGGGGGGACGAGGAGCACTGTTGCCTCCCATTGTGGAAGCTGAGTGCTGAACGTATCTTTGCTGCAGGCTCAGAAGCCCATCCAGGAACACAGGCCTCTCTGAAAGAAAGTAGAGGGCAGGTGCAAAAACAGTGCCTTGCTGGGGGCTCATCTTGCTCCCCAGCCTGGAGGACGCATAAGGCTAAGTTGGAGTGTCTGTGTTCTGCTTAGTCCATTTGGACTGCTGCGGGGTGTGGGGTGGGTCCTCAAGTGTCCCTGGGAAGAGGCAACTTCCTTAAAGTCAGGCAAGCAACTGTGAGGATTTAGTCTATCTTCACTGTGGGAAGCCACAGAAGGACTTCCTTAACGGCCTGCATAGGTTCTGACCTGCATACTGAAGACACACAGGGTTGGGGCTGGGCGCCTTAACAAGGTGAGGAGTTTCAAGAATATGGTTTATGCCTAAGCTATCTATCAGCCAGACTCCTCAGGGGTTTTCAACAGGAATGTGGACTGAGCCCTGGGACTCATTCCTGTCACAGAGATGCTAGAAGCACACAAAGGACTGGTTGCAGACACCTCTTGTTCCAAGGGGAAGTTGTTAGAGCTGTCTTGTGCCTAAAACCTCTGAGTTAAACAATGGGGCTTGGAGACGTGCCACGTACCAGGCGTGGAGAGTGGGGTTTCCTTGCGGGCAACACGTGCTCTAAGGCGGCTGGGGCAGGAGCACACACACGGTTGGTTCCTGACCTCAGGAAGGTACTTTGAAGGCAAAAGAACTCGGTTCTAGAGGGATGACAAGGAGAGAAATGGCGCTCAGAGGTCCCACCAGGCAGCCCGGGGAATTTACCCTCGCGAGGGTTCTGCAACCATGCTCCCAGGGTGCCGGCCAGCACTCAGACCATTGCTCCGGAACCTAGGCTCGCAACGCTGAGATCCTGTGCCCGGCGTTCACACTAGGACTCTGACACCCCACAGACACCGGCCCGCGGCCCGCACCCACCCAACAGCTCCTATGCATCCCAAAGACCTCTGCCGGTCTTCCACCCAGCGGACCCCGCATGCGCCTTTCACTCACTACACGGGCTCTAGGCACGCTGCAAACCTTCCCCGGAGCTCCTCAGTCTCTCCAGGGAGCCCCTGGTACCCTGTAATGTAGAACTCAGCCAGAGCCCCGCTTTCATCGTCAGGACGCCCGAAGGACCAGAACCGCGACTTGCACTACCCCGTTGCTCCCCAAGCACTCATAGAACGGATCTGTGTCCCCAGCTAGGCGCCCCACAGGCCTGTACCTGGTTCAGCCAGCAGCAGCGGTCTGGCTCGAGCACCACGCGCACTACAACACCCACAAACCCGCGCGGAGGCCCAAGCGAAGCATGGAGGGGAGTGACTACCTAGATTGACCACGCCCCCGAAGGAGTGGCCAGCGTGGGGAGTCCAGGGCGCAGCCGCGGAACAACTAGGGGGCGGAGCAAACACCTGGCCACACCGGCAGCTAATCCCACAGACACCTAGTGCGTGCGCCCTGCCCAGTGAGGTTAGTCACCGTCTGGATCGTGTGGTTCCGTGGGGCGCGGGCGACCCACAGCGCGTCAGCATCTCTAGACTCCTTGCGTTCCCGCTCCTGTGCTTCCTCCCCACGCCACCCCTCTCCATACTGTCCTTTTCCCCCCCACCCCACGACTGCTCTTCACCCGACCCACGGCCCCGCAGCCTGCCTGGCCGGCCTGAGCCCTGTAACGAGCCCCTTACCCGGCTGCACTGGGTCGTGGCTCACAGCAGACTGCCTGGTCTGATTAAGCACAGAGGTGACTACCGGGCCTAGGGCCGAGGCCCCTCCCCGGATCCGCCCCTGACCCTGCTGGCCTGCAGAAGTCTGCGCGGGCTCTTTCAGGCTCGTCTGAAAAACTGTGCCCGGGACCCACCTGCTAAAGCAGTCCAGGGATCTGAGCACTGGCCAGCCCGGGACCGCAGGCTAGAGTTGCACTGCTTGCAATAGCTGTGCGCGCCCCTTGTTTGGGTATCAGCGTCTGGGTTCCAAGGGCACGGATGGATTGTGCTTGGCTGTGCAGGGAGGGAGACCCCAGGTCCCAGGAACAAAGCATCTGCCGGACACGCGCGCGCGCGCACACACACACCACCCACCTTCTATCAACTAGACTCTGTTAACAGGGACAGAAGTCTGGCCTAAGTGTTTTAGGCCACCCACCTCCGTCCTCTAACAACCTCCCCATCCCCGAACCCATTCCCAACAGAGATAACTAAGCTAATGCTCAGCCGATGGAAGGCCGCTGGCAGCTTGCGGTGAGTTAGGAGAGGGCGGAGCTCCCTGATGGGCTTTGGTGGAGTACTTGTGCAGGGCAGGGGTCACAGAACCGTGCGTATTAGGCACAAAGTAGAACAAATGGGGAGGGGCACGGGTCAAAAGCAGAATGACTGACAGCAACTCTGGCTTAACAGATCCCAAGGTTGTAGGATGCTGGGAGGTTAGATGCAGGGGTCACCTATGGATATGGGAGTCCCGGGCATAGACACCCAGTCTCTACACCTCCCCCAGCCTATGGCGGCCACACCCCTCTCTGGACTTGGCCCTCAGTGGTACTCGCAAAGGCACTGGCCACCTAATTACTGGACAAGGGGAACTCAACCCTTGAGCCCAAGGCATTGACTAGGAAGCTGGAGTGCTTCTCAGGCCAAAGCTGTGGAAAGCAGTGGAGGCATCATGAGTTGCTTGGGAGCCCCAATGCCTCCTTTCTGCATGTTGGCAGCATGGATGCATGCACTCTTGGGGCTGCCTGCTGCCCCACCTCTTGGTGTGCAGAGTGGAATCAGTCTCAAGCCTGCCTGGGAAACCTGCAGGACCCTTGCCATTACCATGCCAGACTTGGTCCATCCGACACACAAGTCCTTGTGAATAGCTAGGACAGGAACACATCTCAAATTATTTGCAAGTGATGGTCAGGTAGCTTGAAGAATTTTAGGGAGAGCTGGAGGACTCTCATATCTGGCTGTGTCAGTAATCTATACCCTCAGGTCACTACTTACAGCCTGGAGGGCAAGGCCTCAGAGCACCTGTCCTGAGTAAGTGACAAAGAGGAGTCTATAGGAACTCACCCCATGGGCCAGATGGAGGATGGTGGAGTGTGACTATCTGTGTGCCAGCCAGGTCTCTGCCCTCATGGGGCTCAGTGAGAAGCATTCTATCCACAGGACAAGGTAGTGGACCCAATCCACATGACTTATATGTCATGGAGGGGTAGACACCCTGACAAACTCAGCATGTACTCTGGGGTACTGGGCTCGCTTTAGCCTGGCCCTCGCTGTGTTGGAATTCCTTAATGAGCTGTTCTTTGGGGTGGACTAGGGGTAGAATGGCCCCTGTATCATTTGGAGACAGCCACTTAGGGAAGAACAAGAAGGCTTCCAGAATGTTCTCTAAGATACCAGATGCTGGCACTGGGAGGGCTCCACAGGACCAGGACAGTCATTTTGGTTTCTTAGGTATACAATAACCTATCATTTGTTTATGTCCTGGTATAAGCATGGCAATTGCCTTCAGTCTGGGCTGTGGGATAGAAGGCTGGTACCCAGGATGGTGCCATGTGCTGGAGGGGTCAGGACGAGCCAGGAGCCAAACCCCAACCTCAACAGTTTCTAGCTTCCAGGCATAGTTTTCATTGCAAGGCTTGAAGTTTGCAGATCCACAGGCATCTGGAGGAGTGTGGGTGGGCTCTGCAGCTCAGTCCCATATGGTATCAAACCCTTGCAGAGGGCCCCAACTTGGTCTCAGATAATAGCATTGTTGCCCCCAGAGAACAAGTGTTCCTTGCCCATCAATTACCATGTGAAGTCAGTTCACCAACACCTACCTCTCTAGCCCAGTTCCCAGCAGGTCTGTGAGAGGTAAGGCTGTCTAGTGGGGTCTGGGCTCTGAAGTTAGGAGCAAGCAGTCCACCTAAACTCAGAGGTGCCTCTGGGGAGCCCTTTAGCTCCAAGCCTCTTACCAGTGAGACAGAGTGGCATTTCTGCTATACCCGGGAGTTTGAAGAATGAGATGGGCACTTGGCACTATCCTAGCCCCTGGCTGGCAGGACTCATGAGGGAAAGAAGCCCAGCTGTCACTTCCTCCCACAGTCCAAGCTCAGTTGAGAGCACTCGAGCCCTCCCTGGATAGATCCAGGAAGAGAAAGAACAGAATGGGGTTTCCCTGCCATAGCCACTCCAGCCAGGGAACCCAGCAACCATGCTCACTGTTAATGGTCCCAAAGTCCATATTGTTCCAGACCAAGGGACCTGGCCCCTGGGTCTGGCCTAGCCTTTGCCCAGCTCCAGAAAAGCCAGGCCTCATGTCTCCACAGCACCAGGGCCAGGTCAAGATCTATTGGAATGACTGCTCTCTAAGAGCCTACCTTCCTAGACCAGCAAAGCAGCAAAACGTATCCCAACACACAGTGGAAATCTAGGTGTATACTGGTGAGAGAAGCTATCCATCCCAGTCATTGAGAAAATGACTCCATAGATTTGGCTGGAGGGGATTTTCTTAATGATTGATGGGCGGGCCTAGCCCATTGTGGGTAGTTCTATCCTGGGCAGGTGGTCCTGGGTTCTATATGAAAGCAGGTTGAGCCAAGCCTTGAGGACCAAGCCAGTAAGCAGAACCCCTCCTTGGCCCCTGCGATCAGCTCCTGCCTCCAGGTTCCTGACCTGTTTGAGTTTCTGTCCTGACTTCCTTCAGTGGTGAGCAGTGATGTGGAAGTAAAACCCAAATTAACCCTTTCATGGTGTTTCATCACAGCAATAGTAACCCTAACTAGGACAAACTGGGACCTGGATGGTTGCTGTGACAGACCTGGCCATGTTTCGGGAGAGGAATATGGAAGGACTTTAGAAATGGGCTAGAAACGCCATTGAGTGTTAAAAGCTCAGTGAGATTTTCTGTAGGAACTTGGAAGATAAGAATGTTGAGAGCAGTGCAGATGATTGAGGCCTGGCTTGTGAAGTTCCAGAGGGAAGTAAAGACTCTATTGGGCCATTTGAGCTAAGAATCTGCAGCACTGGCCAGCTGGAGCTGATGAATCAGCTGTGATTAACAAGAGACCAGAATTGTTGAGGAAACCTCCTGGGAAGTGTTTCCTAAGAGCTAGCACACAGAAGCCATGTTCTAGGGGTGGCCAAGGAGATTTGTACCTCATGCTGGCAGTTGAACTTGGTAGTTATAAGAGTTACCCAGGTGGTGTTAGTTTTGAAGGTGTGACAGGGTCATGGAGAGCCCTGAAGCTTGGTACTGTGTGGTAGGGTTGGAGTCACTGGATAGAGCCCAGGAGAGGCTATTGGTGAAAATGCAACCCAGTTGCAGCAGAAGCCTACAGCATGTTGGAGATGACAGGGTGACCACCAAGGATAGCAGTGAATGAGTGGAGCCAACCAGAGCTTAGAAACAAGCTAGGTGTGTTGCAGAGGGCAGAGCCAAAGAAGTAACCCTTTGAAGGAGCCCAGAAGATGGTGAATGAATCCCAGACATTGGACATTGAGTGATTTATACTGTTGGAGTTTGGTTTTGCTTTGAGATGATTGTGACTGTTCCCTGGGTCTTCCCTCTTGAAGTGAGAAAGTATTTTGTATTTTACAGGAGCCCTTAGTGCCAAAGGACAGCCAAGTGGCCTTCAGCCAGTGGAGAAGAGGAGCGTGGGGACGAGAGAGAGAGAGAGAGAGAGAGAGAGAGAGAGAGAGAGGGGGGGGGGGGGGGGGGGGAATGGTCAGTTTGAAGTGTATTCAGTAAGGGGGAAGGGACCTAAGATGACCATCCAACCTTGGCAAAGTGAACCCTGGGCCTAAAGTAGAAAGTCAAAGGAGGAGTGTATGGAAAAAGAGAAAGAGCAGAGAGAGAGGGCTTCGGGAAGTATCTGTAACATAGGGTAGATAGAACACTTGGGGCCTGGGGCTATGTGTTGTGTACCATCCCAGTGGCCAGAATGAACCCTGAACACCTGAAAGGCAGTGAGATGTTGCTATCCATCCTCCACAGCCCCTGTTACAGTGACATATGGCTGCTGAAGCAAGGCTTAAAGCAGCACATAGACAGGGACATATGGGTCCACGGGCCTCCTATGGTCCTTTTTATCAGCACTGACATGGGCTTGGGGACAGCAGAGTAGGCAGCTGTTTCCTCTGCCTGGGAGCCCTGCAGTCACTTCCAGGCTAGTGAGAGCCTTAAAGCAGTGTTTGATGAGGCCCTGGTGGGTCAGAGGCTCCCAAACTCAGTTTAGGAGGCTTTGCTTCCCTGTCCTGGACAGGTCATCTCAAACCTGTCACCATGGATGGTTTCTCCCCTCCCCAGGATTTGTAGGATGGTTCTGAATGGGCACCCCAGGAGACCTGCTGTCCACTCCTAATCCTCAGGTTCCCTTAGGTAGCCTCCTCTGTAGCATAAGCCTGTATGCTTTCAATGGGAAGGAAAGACATAGCTAGACCCCATCAGCAAGGAAGTAGGGTATCGCAGGCAGCCTGGTGAAGGGCCTGCTGTGCTACACACACACA